GGTACTCGAAAATCCAGCGCGCGCGCACTTCATAGGCGGCCCCCAAACAACTCAAACCCCATTCTGACACCTGCGCGACACAGCCAGGGACCATACACAGCACGGACATCGAAATTTTCCCACTTTCAGGCACACCTTTGACCCTAATACCGCCGAGGCGCGCAGGGCCTCACCAGAGTTGCCACTTCTGTCCGACATCGCGGTGGGTATACCCGCTGGCGTCAACTAATTTTTTCATGTACCCACTTATATGTCGATATTTTGACCCACTATTGTCCAAATTAGATACCCACATATATTTGTCCACTTACGGACGGGGGAAATCGAGCGGAAATCGACCTCCACGTCACCGCACGGCAGAACATCGCATAGCCTCGGAACATCTCAGAACCTCCCAACACCTCATCGTGAAGATTCAGTACGTATTTGAATCTGTGGTTTGTGGAGGCGTGTTGGAACTCGGAAAAGCGGGAATCGAAGAAAAATAGAGACAGCCCTGGTGTCAGAAGTTTTTGTGCTCTCGCTGGGCGAGAGACAAGCAAGTGCATTTGAGAGAAGGGGAGGAGTAGCAGAGATAGCAGGTTTGAGGAGCAGCAAACACGGAGTACCGCCTAGGATTTGATCGATTTTGGGATGGACGGCAATGATGGGCAACCGGCGAGCGCGAGCGCCGCGGCGGGCGCCGCGGTGGCCATTCAAGGCAACTCGGGGCACGGCAGTCCTCCAAATTCAGCTGCCGGAGGGGGGGACGACCAAAACGCGCAGCCGCAACAACAACAACAACAACAACAACAGCAGCCGCAGCAACAACAACAACAACAGCAGCCGCAGCCGCAGCAGCCGCAGCAGTAGCAACAGCAGCAGCAGCAGAGTCAGGCGCAGCAGCAGCAGCAGCAGCAGCAGCAGGGACACCAGCATCGCCAACCGGAGCATCCAAACCCCGGCGGTCCGGCGGCAGCAATTCCGCCGCCGCCGCCCATGATCCCCGGNGAGACAAGCAAGTGCATTTGAGAGAAGGGGAGGAGTAGCAGAGATAGCAGGTTTGAGGAGCAGCAAACACGGAGTACCGCCTAGGATTTGATCGATTTTGGGATGGACGGCAATGATGGGCAACCGGCGAGCGCGAGCGCCGCGGCGGGCGCCGCGGTGGCCATTCAAGGCAACTCGGGGCACGGCAGTCCTCCAAATTCAGCTGCCGGAGGGGGGGACGACCAAAACGCGCAGCCGCAACAACAACAACAACAACAACAACAGCAGCCGCAGCAACAACAACAACAACAGCAGCCGCAGCCGCAGCAGCCGCAGCAGTAGCAACAGCAGCAGCAGCAGAGTCAGGCGCAGCAGCAGCAGCAGCAGCAGCAGCAAGGAGCCGGGAACAATCCGAACCTCTTCTCGCTGCTGCAACAGCTCGTCAATCAGGGCCACCGCCAGCAACAACAGATCCGGTCTCTCCAGGAGGTTGTGGTAAACTTGACCGGCAACCGGCAGCCCGCGCAGGGCGCCGCGGCCCACAACAATGCACAGGGCGGCTCCGCCCCCGACAATAGCCAGTCAGTAGTTCTCCCCCTGGTCCAAGTGCCGCCGCAACAGCAGCAGCAGCAGCAGCAGGAACAACCTCACCAGCAGCAGCAGCAGCCGCAGTCGCAACCGCTGCAACAACAGTGTCAACACCAACAACTCCAGGCCTACCCCAGCCAGCACTACCACCAGTCGGCCGCGCCCCAGGGATACCAACAGCTCGCGAGCATCCCGGGGGCCGCGCCTGTATACAATGCCCATCGGCTGAAAGAAGCCCAAAAGCTGGAGGGCCGCACGTGGGAGAAGGACGGCCAAGCGGCCTTGTACCTAATGCGAGGCGCTACCTTCTCGCCT